AATACATGTACATGTATGACAATTATAGCTCTGGTGGATAAATATAAAATATTCTGAATTCTTACACACTTTCTCACTATGCTCAATGAACATTCCCACAAAGTTTTAAGAACTGCCACTGAGAACTTTGTCCAGTATCACGATTTAAAGGGTGTATTGCCCTATTCCTTGGAACCTTGGATTAGACGAAAATGGGTCTAACTAAAAGCACATATTTATGTATCAATACACTACAAGTTGGGTATCATTTAGTTGTGCTGTTTTCGGAGGAATTCTGTATTTAATGTTTAGTTTCATTCCATTGTTAGCAAATTGTTGAAAGTCGTTGAGAATCATCAAAAAATATTGGGTTCCTACTGTCGATTAGTATAAAATGGTCTGTCTTGATTAACACCTTTTGACTCGTGTACTGATTATAAAATGTTCATAGTCTCTTAAACACTGGATATTATGATCCCATATTTTTTACGGCAAGTTAACTACATCAATATTGATTGAAATGGAACAAAATGGAATTTGAATTTGTGTTTTTAATTTCAAATATTATGGAAACTAGAAAATTAACTCCTTGAACAGATATAATTTGAAATTCGATAAGATTCTTCTTTACAAAAAAATAAATCAAACCTTAGCATGTTTTTTCAGGTATACACTACATGAGCTGAGAACCAAGTTTGGTTTCCGTTTTCCCAAATCAAACAATGATACTTCTATGATATTTTGCACCTCATCATCTTTATCATGTGCAGCATCAATGAGGGCCATAGTCATATCTATAAATATATATATATATATAGAAACATACAATAACATTAGTTTATCAGATACATTTTGTTTATAAATATAGAAACATACATGTACAATCACATTAGTTTATCAGATACATTTTGTCTGTACAAATGTAGTAACATACAATCACATTAGTTGAACAGATACATTTTGTCTATAAATATAGCAACAACAATCAGACTAGTTTAATTATCAGATATATTTTGTCTGTACAAATGTAGCAACAACAATCACATTTGTTTATCAGATACATTTTGTTTGTAAAAATGTATCTAAAGATTGACCGGACTACATCTCCCTGTCGACTTGAACAAATTGTACTTGTCTTTCAACTTATTACTTTTGAGTCTGACACCACTTTTCCTAACATTATAAAATATAGTAAATGTACAATCATTCTAAGCAGACAATCAAATTCAAAGGGGATAAATACAATATCATCCATTAGTTTTATAGAGTGTGGACTTCACCAATCACAAGTAAAAAAATGTGTTTTTTAAAAAGTCTGACAGTTCATGACAAATTTTTGAAATTGATGTAAAATTGAAAACAGGGTTGAAAGTTAGCAGTGTTGCCAACTGGCCATGGCCAACGTGTGTTTTTTTAAAGGTAACACCAAGGAATTTTACATCTGTATTTATCATTAAAGTACCGGTAAATAAAAATAAGTAAAATAAATGTATGATATATCTATACATCATATATCTAAAATTAGAAAGTAGACTGTCAAGAATTTTGCATAAAATCGAATTTTAACATCCCTGATCATGTATCGGTAGACCTACATTTAACCAACTGTTACCTAAAGCAGTTAGAAGCACTAAAACAGAGAGCTGATTGTGGTCCTCAGTTCTGATCGCAAAAAATTTCAGAATAACAAACCCTAATTTAAAGTAGCCTTGTCTCTAACTCAATATCATCCAAATTCTTCGACATTGGAGACACAAATTATTTGTCTATTTAAATCAACATTGATGTTGTGATCTTACCGGAAAAAGGTGGGCTTCCGATATCCAATATTTAAGACAAAATAAACATTTTACCATTGGTACACGAATCGTGTACCATAATGCGTTTCAGCGTCATTTGTAAGAAGGGGTTCGAAGAACGAAACTAGACATATTCCATAAGTCATGTCAAATGGTGACGTTATATTCTTTTCTAGAGAGCGTGCGCAATAAAGAATTTTGGTGTAAACTGGTATAACCAGACTCTGGAAATAGCCATTCGATTGAGATTTCAGGCGTATTTCGCCGAACTTAACTGATTAGAAATTATAGTAAAAGCAGAAATGATTGAATGTAAATCAGTTTATATACATTCATTTATTATATGCGTTGTGACACATTTGTGTCAATTTCTAGGTCCCAAATATTAGCGACTTAGCTCCTTTAAATAAATGAATGTATAGTGCAAAAGACTGTTGACTGTAAATGTAATGTATTTCCTTCAGTCATCACTTATAATAACCCAGAAATGATGGGTATGCCAACTGAATTGAAAATGATTCTTTAAATTAATAAAAAACCTCTATCTTCGCTATATATTATTACTGTCTGAGTCTTGGTAAATTTTAAACAGATTTCTTCGATTATGAACAAACTACTTAACTTTGGTTATTATAAACTTACCTGTGTGTTTGTAATCAACTCCCGTTCGATAAAATCCATTGCACAACTAATTATCACAACGATGAAAACAAGTTCTCTCTTGAAAAATTGAAATATCACAAACTTTTCCCAGAGAAAAATACCAATATGGAAGATGGTTACGTCACTCTGCAGAGGATATCATTTCGTATTAGGGGTGACAGCATAGGAAATTCAAGTACAATTACGACAAGAATCCATGACCACTCGGACCAAAGACCACCCGGTTCAAGACCAGTCGGACCAACTGATACACCACTCAGCCCAAACAAATAGACTACTCGGACCATACAAAAAGACTATTCGGACCCAACAGAAAGACGACTCAGACCAATAATATAGTGTTGTTTTAATAAATTGATAATTGCGTTTGTTTTAATATGATTACTCGAACCAATAATAAAGTGTTATTTTAATAAATTGATAATTGTGTTTATTTTAATATGACTACTCGAACCAATAATAAAGTGTTATTTGAATAAATTGCTAATTGTGTGTGTTTTAATATGACTACTCGAACTAATAATAACGTGTTGTTTGAATAAATTGATAATTGTATCCCAAATCGCAAAGTATCGAGAACCACACTTGTAGTCACGTTTAAAAAGGTGCATATTATAAACGTCCGGTCTTCGTATTATTATGGGCTGTTTATATTAACGCATCAAGGGCGGATAACTTGAAAACGTGTCCCCCCCCCCCATATATTAACCCAGTGGTTAGTGGGGTAGAACGGAATGAAACCACTGGAGATACCGCAAATGTGGAAAAAAGTAAAATTAGGCCATCAGATAAGAACAGTATATCGGTATATGTAAAAACTGTCAAAAGTCTGGACATACCGAGTCTCATTGCAAGAGTAAATAAGAAAAATTAGATTGATATTTTTTTTTGTCACCATTATTAATTAATTTTAAAACTAATCGTTGATTTATTTTCCGTACACAAAATTGAACTAAACAACTCTAAATATAAGAATTCCGTACATGTATAAGAATTATTTGCTTCTTTGTATTGTGATTTAATAATAAAAAAATAGCATATTGTCTAGCCTTATAATATAATTTAATTGGTCCGACTGGTCTTGTTTTGGTCCGACTGGTCTTAGTCCGAGTAGTCTTTGGTCCGAGTGGTCTGGATACCTACGACAATTGGCATTGAGTTTGAGCGTTCGCACACATAACTACCCGCATTCCTGTATTTTAGTTACCGTCTTTTACATTCTAGTAAAATCTCTGCAAATTTTATAGCTTTACTTTTTGAAATATTTTGTTCTAATTATTTGATTAGCGATTCGGATGGGATAATTTACTTTCGAACACGCATGCCGCACAAACACAACTATACATTCGTTTTACCGGCTTTATCACACTTCGGTCAAAACTGTCGAATCGAGAATTAATGTTCCGCTTCTTACGGGGTCATACGGGCTTAGTAGCATTATATACCCACCCGGGCACCCAATAGGCACGTTGAGGGCTGTCGCAACACGCTTAAAGATGTTACTGAAGCGGTTATTATTCGATCGAAAGAATGCGTATAAAATTAAAAATACACTCAGAGAATTCGGAGGTAAGCTTCATGATCCTTGTTAAATTATTTATAACAGAAAGAAGATAGGATATTTATAGTTTATATATGACTTTATTTTTACGAGTATCAGTGATAATTTAATTGTGAAGAAAATTTGATAGACTGGCGATCAATGGTTTCCATATAAATCTCCTATGTAATTGCCTTCAATTGATATTTTTCGTCGCCCAAACCCATATACGATCAAAATGATCGCGCTGTCAAACTATCTTTCAATGTTAACCAACCCCCGCAACAGGTATATTGGATTCGACCAATACGTCACGAAGACATTGTTGACATCGACTCTGTCGAAATTACAAGTAAATTTTCAAATTTTTCAAGAGAGAACTTGTTTTCATCGTTGTGATAATTAGTTGTGCAATGGATTTTATCGAACGGGAGTTCATTACAAACACACAGGTAAGTTTATAATAACCAAAGTTAAGTAGTTTGTTCATAATCGAAGAAATCTGTTTAAAATTTACGATGGTTCACACAGTAGTATATATCACAAGCCATTAAAAAATATTACAATAGTTTTCACTTATTTATTTAAATCGTAACATGTCTCTTGATATTCATTACTAATTATTTTCATGATGTGGCTAATCAAGTAATCATACCAGGCAACCAGCTATTCATTCACTGACACTGAATCGGCTCAATCATAACCGAAGAAAATACTACGAAAAATGCATTAAATAATAAAAACACACCATCAACTTGGCCCCCTGTAGTGCGCACAGAATCTCCATCCGGACCTGGCATTATCATGGAATTGTCATGAAACGCTTCAGTCTGATTTCTTCAATTTCTAATAAGCTTTTCTACACTTTTTTTCCAATAAACAACCCCTTGTCATGTGATTTTCTTAGAGCGGAAGTTTACTCCTCTACCGGAAATATCAAAATGACCAATAGGAACTATAAAACATTAGATTTGCTTTACCAGACTTTTGTCTCTTATATCATTTAGTGTTTTTGATTACGACTGGTTAAGCGGGTTAACGAGGAAAATAAAAACACAAACACGTGAAACTTCTAATACATTCTCTTAAGCAGGACACAATTCTATGTAATTATTCTTTATTAATGATTAGAATTGCAAGACAAAGACTGGAGATTCTTTGTCGCTCCTGAATTTTAATTAGTAAATTACATTAAAATTAGATGTTAAATCTCACAGGGTTGAATGACGTTAAAGGACAATATTGGTGTCAGTCATTATAAAATATGTGATAGAACTGGTTAAATACATCCCAAATATAATTTTAATACAGAGATCATTGCTACGGAAGATGTGTAACAAGCACGTGAAGAAACAGGAAGTGATGCCAAACATGACAAACACGAGTTATCCTTCTATATAACTGATTGAATTAACGAGCGATAACAGACATGCGATCGAATTTCATTTCACTGATATTTCAGTTGAAGATGAAAAGTTATTATATGAGACGGTGAGAGGATATCTGACAATTCAAAAATAGAATTGGCTGTCAGTAGATAAAAGATAATGAACAAATTAGAAAAAGTCTGTGCATTACCATGTTTTTATTAAGAACAGAATGAATAAAAAGGGGGGAATGCACAGGATTTTTCTATTTTTCTCGTTTTCCCTTATCTAGTGACAGCCAATTCTATTTTTGAATTGTGAGATACCCTCTCACCGTCCCATATAATAACTTTTCAACTTCAACGGAATTATCAGTGAAATGAAATTCAATCGTTTGTCTGTTATCGCACGTTACTTCAGTCAGTTGTAAAGAATGATAACTTGTGTTTGTCAAGTTTGGCGTCATTTCCCGTTTCTTCACGTGCTTGTTACACATCTCCCGTAGCAATGATCTTTGTGTTAAAATTATATTTGGAATGTATTTAACCAGTTCTATCACATATGTAATAATGACTGACACCAATACATGTATTATAAGGTCCCTTGTTAAACTACCGGTAGTTATACAGGGAGCAGGTCCTTTCATCCTACTTATATCGGGTCCTTTCATCCCACAAATTTAAAAACTGGTATTACATGAATTTTTAATTTTTCATTTATACATTAATACCAATTATGTCAATGCAATTTTATCATGAATAGTGTCCAACTTCTTCCTTTGCATACGCTTTAGCTTATTTTCCAAATCCACACCAATTCTCGACACCATAGCAAAACTTTCAACTTGTAATATAGTTATTTTCATGCATGTTGGTTTCTCAGGATTGCCCGTGATGGAACAGATCAAAGAATAAAATTGCACGTAGCCACTATTTCGACACTGTTACCTTCAGATGTTCAGACTACCTGGCGCCTCAAATAACCCAACGTTAAAAGAAAGCATGCAGTGTCCACCTTGCATTGATTTACGATTTATCACACACAGTTTAGACCAAAATGTATTATAATTCGCATTTTGGTATTCTAAATTGATTCTTATTCGGAATTCATATATTTGTAGTTGTTTAATTCCATTTCTTGTACGGAAATTAAATCAACGATTAGTTTTAAGATTAATTATGGTTTTGAAATAATATCAATCTAATTTGTCTTATTTAAAAGGGGCTCCTGTGCAAATTAGTTGATTATTGGGTAATACGTATAGTCTGGAGGCCCAGCGCGGGGGGGTGTCCATCAAATGGGCACAAAACCAGACCCAACTTTTCTAGAGTAAAATTTTGCGTAGAATATGATGCCGAGTGGTAATCAGTCTGCCGTTGGGGCGTTTTCGAGATATTCGGGGTCAAAGGTCAAATGGGTTCATTTGCACTGAAAGTGAATGCGCGGTCATTCTTGTATCATGAAAATAAGCTGAAAATGATCGAAAGTAATCACACTTTCAATAAAAATGTAAACTTGCTAAATTCACCTTTGTTCTTTGTGACCCCAGAGGTTAAAAGGTCACATTTTCTGTTTTAGCGCTAGGAAGATTTAAAGTAATAAATGTCAGCGTCAAATATAAAAACTAAAGCGAAACCTGTTCTAATTAATAATAGGAACATTTGCTTCTCGACTTCCATTCATAATTTAATCATGAAATGGATGATCGAGATTATGTTTTTTATTGACAGACTTTAGTAATGATGATCGAGGCCATGCCGAAATTTCAATCGCTTAATTCTCGGTTCATAGTGGATCAATTTGACTGAAATTTTCAGCAAATTCCCTTTACATTATCTAGTTTTTAACTATTATAGTGAGAACGCTAAATTTAAATAAACAATGTCACAATATCTAGCACTTCTAGTAGTTGTAGATTGAGACTTCACATTTATATAATCATGTAGCACACCATATTTCCTGTGTGTATTTTCACCAATTACCTTTTTACCAAGGCCTATTATCTTTAAACGACCAGTCAACTATCAACATTACTAACATGTTTTGTTAATTGAATGTTCCTTAATTGTGCCAAATATATTATTGTGGTTAAAAATATTTTATTGCATTTTATGACAAAATCAGACATTCACACTTGCTTGATATAAAGCAGCACAGAAGGAAATATCTACCAATATTTTAAAGATATCTGCGTTTTATTTTGGCTTCAAACGTTATAGAAATTATTTGCATTCTCTTAATTGTTTGCTGTACCTTTTTTTTTATTTTATAATAACTATACATGTAAACTAATTGATAAAGATCCTAACTGTAATATAATTGGTAAAGCTAAATACATGTATAATAATTTCTGAAGACCAATACATATAATAATTTTCATTTCCAGATTGTAATTATCAAGTTTGAAATGGAACTTAAATCAAATAGAGGTAATGTAGTAATATATGTATATAGTCTACATTTAAAAGGAAGCCCAAACTCAATTATAATGTATTTTCCCCTTTAATATGATGTCAAAAAAGATATTGTCTGTGACTGTGTGTAAGCTATGACCGGGTATGAATATTACATACAATTAAAGTGTTTGTCACAATGATATTATAATTTACAACAATATAGTATGAATACTACATACAATTATTAAGGGGGGTTGGATTGGATGGACGAATGGTTAGCACATGCGCGCTGTATCATAAGGTCTGTCATTGAGTCAACTGGCGGGGTTTCGATTCCCCGGTTGTACATGACAAGGAGTAGGGTCGCCTGTCCAACCTTGTGGATTTTCTCCGGGTCCTCCAGTTTCCTCCCACTGCTAAAGATCCCTATGCGCAAGTGAATTATTGAAATAAAATTGAACCATCTGTTAGTCCCGATATGAACTAGTTTATTTCGAGTGGATGTTAAACCCCATTTCTCTCTTCTCTCTCTCTCTCTCTCACAAAAAATTAAAGTCATAGTCACTATGATATTATAATTTACAACTCTATAGTATGAATAAAAGCCACATTGTATTCCCAATATTATTGTTGCTATCTATATTGTTGCATTCAGAATTGCAAGATTAAAATATAACTCTCAAACAAGAGTTACCATACATTCATCCATTTATAAAGTGCTGTATTTTCATTGCATATCATATTAATTTTTCAGAAGCTTTATATTCTGGTTTACCTTCATCATTACAATCTGCTAGTAATAAATTAGGAATAAAGGTATGGCAGTATGGCAAAATTATATAATAAATAATAATCATTTACAGCCTGGACATTCATATAGGCTATCTAATTACCGATTTTCAAGAAAAAAATCAGGCATTTTTAGATAATAGACAGTCCCAAATCATTTATAAATGTGTTGTAGTTCATTTTCTCATCAATCTGATAATATACAGATCTATATTTCGTTTCATTTTTTTATACTTTCGATGGTCTCCGACATTTGATTAACCAATCAGCGTTGATGTTTCTAGTGGGTTACCCACAGTTCCGTGCACCTCACGCCAAAAACTCGCCGTAACAGACTGTTTCATTGGCTAATTCCTCACATCATCCAGAACACAGGTTATATAACAACTCTTCCAGATCCTAGTGTAGTAACGACAAGTAAAACATTATTTTGAACTATAAGAAATGAAACGAAACAGGATCTGTGTTTTAATCAGATTGTTTTCTCATTTAAATTGGCTTAACCTCAGCCAAAAAACACCTTTTGGGATTCCTGTATTCAATAATGAAATCTACTTAATTGTACATTTTCTACTCTTTATAGTATCTTTAATAAATTCAATTAATGAACATTCAGTGAACATCTGGGTTACTTCAGGTATGGTATATGGTGTTAGAAAAAATTGGTGAACAGATTCTGCTGTAATTGCTCCATTTCTGTGCCCATTTGAACTAACAGTACTGACCTTTTACTTGTTCACTTTCTCTCTTACAAGTTTTGAAGTTTTGAACCAAGCCTGAAAAATCTTGGCCAATGACAAGTGTTTTGTCTCTAATATACACATATCCTACAATTATAATAAATATAATAGTCATAGATAGATTCCATAATTTATATATTTCCAGAAAGTCAGAGATGGATTTTTGAAAACATTTCTACAAAAGACTGTTTATACAGATAAGAAGAAGCAACGAAATGTACCATTAGAACATCTCTCAGTTGTATCAGAAGTACTGGAATGCCAGCCTAAAAAAGCAAAACCTGATTTAGGTCCACGAAAGAAAAGGAAAACTTTAACAAACATGGAACGAAAAAAACTTAAAATATTTGATATTAAGAAAGAAGATCAAAAGTAAGACCACAAAGTGACCAGTTTTTAATTCACAACCCTCTTTGAATTATGGGTTTAAGATTTCTCATGTTAGGGTTTGTTTGCTTTAACCCAAGGAAAGCACTTTCACTTGTACAGTTTTTATACCCCCACATTGAAATGTGGTCGTATATTGTTGTCGCCCCCGTCCATCCGGCGTCCACAATTGCTTGTGGACGCTCTATAGGCTAAAGTTAATATCCGATTGACTTTAAGTTTATACACAGTGTTTAAGGTCATGAGACGAAGAAGCCTATTGATTTTCAGCGATTTTCGATAATTACTGCCAGAGTTATGGCCCTTGATCACTTTGAAAAATCTTGTGGACGCTCTAGAGGCTAAAGTTAATATCCGATTTACTTCAGATTGATACACAGTGTTTCCGATAATTACTGACAGAGTTATGGCCCTTGATCATTTTGAAAAATCTTGTGGACGAACAAGTATATTGATTTTCAATGAATCTTTATGACTTGAACAGCTAAATCCATGATGTTAAAAGCTTTGTATACTAAACGTTTTCATGGGGCAGAACTTTATAAAAACCAAACAAATTCTAATGGTTTTCTGATAATTACTTAATGAGTTGTTACTCTTAATCAGATTTTAATGTATTATTAATGTTTCATTACCGAAAAAAGTAGAAATATGCGACAACTCTTGTTGACTGCCCGGACGATATAGGTGCTGTGGGCGTATGTTTCATTGCCTGGCAACCTATCTTTGTGATTATCTTGTATGTGATCAAGGGGGACAATTCACATTGAGATAAGAGCAATTTTATTTATCACCAAGACTGGAAGAGTGAAATATGATTTTGTTGAAGTGTTGTGTCTGTTGTAGTTTAATACAAATATTTTTATTTTCTATACCAGGTATGAGAAGTATTTACCATTACACAATCTATGGAAAGATTATATTAAAGATCTTTTATGTGGACCAAAGTAAATGTTTTTATATATTTGTATTAAAGTCTCTGTGCATCATTTGAATTTTTTGGAAAAAATCAATTTTTCCAATTCTTAATCCCTGCTAGAATGTACTCAATTTAATTATTTAACAATTGATTAAGAAAACAAAAAAAATATCAACGGTAGATGATCTGCCAGTTTTGATTCAGATAAAAAAAAAATGAAATAAAATAAAATGGGGTTTAACGTCCTACTGTTTTGCTCTGAACTGGGCTAAAGAAGACGGGCATACGCTATACAGTGTGCTATGAGGGAAGTATTGCCCGGACAGCGGCACTACAGCCTACTCTTATATCAAACTCCAACTGTCAAGGGATCTTTTACATGCACGCCAATGTGTACACAGGACCTTGGTTTTTCGTCCCATCTGAACGACTAGACAGCTGTCGTTGTCATGCCTTCCATCCAGCATCACTGACAAGTGGGAACCATGCTGGAAATTTTCAATTTGTCATATATTTGTAAATACGGAATGAATTGACTCATCCTTTAAACATACATTATGCAAGAGCTAAATCTGTCTATTGCATGTCTTTCTTTAGGCCCGAAATGTTATCTAAATTATTAATTAGACATTAACCTATCCAGACCATAATCAACTCTAGATGGCATCACTAGCCTGCGATCTTTAGTGGATTATGAGCCGATTTACTGCATAACTTTCCTTCACGATTTAACGATTAAATGGATAATCAAGACTATGCTGTTTATCGTACTGACTTTAGTAATGATGATTGAGGCTAGGCGGAAATTTCAATCGCTTAGTTCTCGGTTCATAGTGGATCAATTTGAATGAAATTTTCAGCAAATTGCCTTTACATTATGTAGTTTTTAACTATTATATTGAGAACTGCCAACTCGTTATCGAATCTCCGATATTGTATCTTTAAGAAATTCAACTTTGACAATATTATAGTTTGCAAGGGATTAACAATCCATCAAATGACAATTAGTGACACTAAAACTTACCATTATGGATTTATATTAACATTGGTGTATTTGTATTTTGTCATCCATGTATGTACATAGTTACATAAAGCAATAGTGATGAAGGCATTCAGTGATAAAAGCCTATCAGCTATCAATGCACCATTGTTGCCAATAATTACATCCAACGATATGTGCTAGCAATATACAAGTATTTGTATTATTTTCCGATGCTTATCAGACTGAAATGTGCGGTATTTAAATGTGTAAACATTGATATATTTCCAATTGGTGCTTATTAATGTCTGTCTGCCTTGTATAAATATTCCAAAAGACATATTTCCTCTACATAACTGAATGTGCAGGTATTGTAGGGTCATATGATCAACATACATGGCTATATATGGAAAACGATTTTAAAATCTGGTTGATATGTCTAAATGATAACAGATTTAAGATACACCAATTCACTACTGGCAGTCAATGTGGCCCCTACCAATCTTATAGTGTAGGGAGCCAAGGTGGCTCAGTGTGGAAGTCACTGGCTCACTAACCAGGAGGTCCCTGATTTGGTTCCTGTGTAGGTTTAGAAAGTTCCTCAGGATATTCCAGTGTAGTTTCTCTGTTTCAGTAATACAGGACAAAGGGCCTAGCAAGGATCAGAGCCTAATTGTTCAGATGGGACAAGAAAACAAAGTCCTGTTCACACGTTAACATGTACCCAAAAGAACCCTTGATAGTTGGAATTTAAGGACAAGTAGCCTTCAACTCCACAGTCCTGACAAACTATCTCTTTTATGCCTGTTTGCATTAGACCAATTGGTGCAGAAAACTCCATCATATGCAAAAACATAAATGAACCAATAAATATGCTTTTCATCCATATACTGTTTATATTTAGAGATAAGTCAGATGGCTGTTTAAATAATGATGCACAAAAATTACTGAAAGCTGATGTGCATGGTGCCATATTAACAGTCAAAAAGTCTAAATGTCCATCATATATACATACTACTGGTATTGTTCTACAAGAAACCAGAAATACATTTAAACTCATCACCAAGGAAAATAAACTCAAATGTAAGTTTCTGTCTTGTTGTAAGTACAGGCAGGTAGTAATTTTTATTAATTTAACAAATTGTTTGATAACCTATTCATGTTCCTGTGTGCATTGGGTTTGAGTTTCCACCCAATAGCAATTAGTTTGCATTGATCAGTTCCTTTTAAATTTTATTGTCCTGCTTCCAAGTAATATCTTATAAGAGGAAATATTCTTCTCTTTTTACAAAATAAAGACTCAAGTTGGTCCTATGAATCCCACAAAACAAATGTTACCTGTAGAGCATGGTACTGTACAAATATTGTGCAATGGTCACGTGGGTAACTCCTTCTTTCATATTATATCATTTTGTCAGGGCACTTACCTCACTACAAGAATACCCAGGGTTCAAATCCTGGTGATTCCACTAGACAATGTAAAGTAGGTCCTGTGTGTACAATGCATGTAGAAGATCCCCATGATATCTGTAATTCAGTGGTTGTCCACCATTGCACATTTAATCAGTTTGTTAGTCTCAAAATAAACATAAAATTTCTTCAGGAGTGGATAAGGCTGGAGGTCGGGTGTTCGATCCCTGCATTGGCAGAGAAAGTTCATCCAGATTTTCCGGCGTGGTTCCCCCTTGTCAGTGATGCAGGATGGAGGGCCTGACAAGGACAGCTGTCTAGTCCTTCGTATGACACGGAAAACCGAGGTCCCGTGTATACATTGGAATGCACGTAAAAGATCCCTTGGCAGTTGGAATTCGATATAAGAGTAGGCGATAGTGCCGCTGTCTGGGCAAAATTTCCCTCATAGCACACTGTATGGCATATGCCCGTCTTCATTAGCCCAGCATAGGAGAGAAACAGTAGGACGTTAAACCCCATTTTATTTCATTTCATTTCTCTGTGATGTTATATTTCAGGCATACCAAAACTTAATAGTATTTTTACTTTAGAAGACAGTGGTATTATATATACTATATATGGTAATCATTTCCGAGTGAAAGCTAGTGAAAGAGCAATTAGAAAGTTTAAAAGTAAAGCAACTGTGGATCTTTAATCTGTATGAAGTTCAATTAAAATAATCGAAATAGTGCACGGTTTATGGTATTGCATTGTTACCCCCATTAAATCAAATTTTAAATCAAAACAAAATAATGATGCCTTCTGGCTTCTACAGAAAATGGTCCCCATTATATAGTTAAAAACAAAATAATGATGCCTTCTGGCTTTTACAGAAAATTGTTCCCATTAAATAGTTTTAGAAATTCAACATAATGCCAAGCAATGAAAATAGGCTCACCAAAAGCACCTTCCTGTATAGACAGAGGGGTGATAACAATATACTTATATTCATATAAGGGGGATTGGGTGACAGAGTGGTCTGACATGTTCACTTTAGATTATAAGATCTGTCATTGAGTCAGTTAGTGTTGATTCAATCACAGACTTGTACCTGACAAAGGAGTAGGTACATCTACCTAACCTTCTAACCTTAATTTCCCCCCACTGCTAAAAAAAAAGCTATCAAATGCTAATTATTGAAACAAAGATCTACCATGTATTTGTCCCTAAATGGCTCAGGTTGTTCTGAGTGGACGTATAACTCATTTTCTCTCTTTCTTTATATACATATATATAGTGGGAATTTCTGTTTTAAGGTTATAAATTGTTTTAAACAGAATTGATTTAATAATTGTTTTATTAAGAATTATTGTATATCATGTGTCCAGACAACATTCCATAACAATTTTTCCAATAACACAAAGCTTACAATAATGGATGGTGATTTAAAATCTACTGTCATGCAAAGCATTTCGAAATGCATTTCATTCAACAATTTTTATTGATAGTTTGAAACATCAGAGTCAAATGTTTTAAAGTTGTCTCTATCAGAATATACCTTACTAAAAATTTAGTGAAAAATTATTTCGGGTGTGTGGTAGGGGCATGATTTGAAAATTTATTCCAGTAAAATTGTGGAAGCAGTTTTCAGTACAAGACATATATACTAATATTTGTGACTGTCGTTTGTTTGTCGGTCTGTCTGTTCAGGGTTGGCGGCTACACTAGGGCTGTCCTGAGGCTGAAAATTGGTGTATAGGGGTATCTCGTAACATAGGACTGGTGGCGATGGACTACCACCCCCCGGGCGAATTTAGGCCCCAGGCGAAGCCAGGAATCCTCCAAGTTATTTATAAAAGACACTGGAAATGAAGAGTTGTCTGAACACTGCAGTATGGTATTGAAAGAACAAATTATCCCATTCCATGTCTTTTTTATACGCCCACATTTTCATGTGGACGTATTATGCCGTCGTCCCTGTCCGTCCGTCCACAATTGTTTGTGGACTCTCTACAGGTCACAATTCTTATCCGATTTCGACGAAACTTGAAATATAGGTTTATCCCCAAAAGATCTCGGCTGCTTTCGATATTGGCATGTATCGGATCGAAACTTCATCGATTATGGCCCCTGTTTGTACGAAAAATCACGTATTTAGCTTGTTCCCAAATAGTGTAAGAATATGGTATATCAAGGTTGTGGACCCTATAGGGGTCACAATTTTTATCCGATTTTGTTGAAACTTGAAATGTAAGTTTATAACCCAAAGATCTCGGTTCTTTTCGATATTCGTGCATATCGGACCGTAACTTCCTGAATTATGGCCCCTGATTGTACGAAAAATCACGTTTTTAGCTTGTGGACCCTATAGAAGTCATAATTTTTATCCGATTTAAAAAAACGTTCTATTATATCACCGTTACACACTAAGGATGACTGAGTTCGAATTTCGTGAAAATCGGCCCAAAATTGACAGACAAAATGGCCGCCATTCGTTCCCAAATAGCGTAAGAATATGGTATATCAAGGTTGTGGACCCTATAGGGGTCACAATTTTTATCCGATTTTGTTGAAACTTGAAATGTAAGTTTATAACCCAAAGATCTCGGTTCCTTTCGATATTCGTGCATATCGGATGTAACTTCCTGACTTATGACCCCTGATTGTACGAAAAATCACGTTTTTAGCTTGTGGACCCTATAGAAGTCATAATTTTTTATCCGATTTAAAAAAACGTATTATTATATCACCGTTACACCCTAAGGACGACTGAGTTTGAATTTCATGAAAATCGGCCCTAAATTGACAGACAAAATGGCCGCCGTTCATTCTCAAATAGCGTAAAAATATGGTATATCAAGGTTGTGGGCCCTATAGAGGTCACAATTTTTATCCGATTTTGTTGAAACTTGAAATATAAGTTTATAACCCAAAGATCTCGGTTCCTTTCAATATTTGCCCATATCGGACCGTAACTTCCTGAATTATGGCCCCTGATTGTACGAAAAATCATGTTTTTAGCTTGTGGACCCATTAGAGGTCATAATTTTTATCCGATTTAAAAAACCGTATTATTATATTACCGTTCCACCCTAAGGACAGTTGAGTTTGAATTTTGTGAAAATTGCCCCAAAATTGACAGACAAAATGGCCGCCGTTCGTTCTCAAATAGCGTAAAAATATGGTATATCAAGGTTGTGGACCCTATAGAGGTCACAATTTTTATCCGATTTTGTTGAAACTTGAAATGTAAGTTTATAACACAAAGATCTCAGTTCCTTTCGATATATGCGCATATCGAATTGTAATTTCCTGAATTATGGCCCTTGATTGTAGGAAAAATCACTTTCTTGTTAGCTTGTTCTCTATCCATCTCTCGAAAATGTTGGCGTATCCTGCCTGGCAGCCGCTGGTTTTAAAAAAAATTAAATTCTTTTCTCAAACAAATGGGGAAGAATGTGTATCATAGGTGACCAGACACAGATGCTAGTTAATATACCATTAGCCAACATTGGATGATAAATACATTGTTGAAGTAGTTCTCCTCTGTTTAACTTCTATTGATTTGTCTGTGGTAATTCTTTTATTTAGGGACCTTGTATTGTTTGTTTCTGTAAACGATTTCCTTGAGGAAGGAAATACATGAGCCAATATATATTTTTATTGGAATATCTGTCTACAATAATAACAGCCTTGTCATGTTTTTAGCTATATTAAAGAATTTGTTTAAACATTATTTATTGCTGAATCGCAGTTATTTTAATAACTATTTCAGGTTTAATATATATGCACCCGTTTTCAAAAAGATTTTTCAGGACAGATTTTTACATTTAAATGAAATCGGAAAACTCGATATCTAAATATTTGTACAAAAATTAAGTATGCAATAAAGTGATCACATCACGAATACTGGAATCAGATGGGTGTCCGCAATAATTACCTATACATATAATGTTATAGTTTTGTACTATTTGAACAACTGTCTATTTGCAACTGAATAAAAGAACATACAATTTGAACTTTTTATACCCTAACATTTTCATGAGGACGTATATTGTCGTCGCTCCTGTCCGTCCGTCCACAATTTGTTTGTGGACACTCTACAGGTCACACATATTATTCGATTTTGACGAAACTTAAAATATAGGTCTATCCCCAAAGATCTCGGTTCCGTTCGATATTGGATCTGTAGCACCACGGGTCTCTCTGTTAGAGTGGAGAGCGGACAACAATAAAAACCGGTCGCCACATCCTACGTATGACCCATGCATCTTTTCTTAATACATATCTTAGTAGCCTTGTGATCGTCTAGTATTTTCACTTGTTTTTGCTCCCCCTTCACGTTGCGTATCCTCAGGAATAACAATGCAAGAGTTCGTTTTTACATTTTATATACCATAGCTGGATACATAGATACAAGCAGAGTAGATTACAATACTAAAGTCGTTCTCTCAAACTCCATCCAGCCACATTGCTGGGGCGAGTCTGTTGATAGAAATTGCTACATCTTTTCCCTTCTGGAATCGAGCTGCTCACAAATTATCTAATTGGTCAAATATGATGTAAATAATTAAAGAGATTGGTCAATTAAGCCAAATGATGCAATCGTAATTTTCCAATCACGTATTAAACATGATATTCTTATTCCCACGGAACCAGCTAATGTTTACCAAATTATAAATCATTTTTTATATACCAGTCTGTCACTCATTCTTGGGTGAATTAGGTACGACTTAGCCAAAGATATTAATTAATATAATGCTACTAGCTAAAAGAGAAAAAATTCTACAAAAGTCTTACATTTCTGACCATAAGGAGACGGACCACCATTAAATTTCACCCACAAATTGTAGTTCGTCTATTTATAGCAATTCACTCCCTGTCTCTTTTCTCTCCTTTTACATGCCTGTTTTTGTTGATTTTTTGGCCTAGAATGGACGAAGAGGGTTTGAATTAACATGTTCTGCCAGGTTTTGGTAATTATTCATGATTTTGAGGCGGAAGGATAACAGAGTTATCAGGTTGGTTACGGTGATATGTACGGCAAAAAAGTTACATGTTTTTAGTATGCTTCTTCAAGTTTGTGTATCTCAAAATTTTGGTGGTCAACCTCATACAAATTTTAGTGCAAAGACATGACCATTTGTTCCTCTGTCTGCAGTGAAAAGCATTCAGCCCAATGAAAATTTGAGGAAAAGTTGTAGGTGGGCGAGAAGCCAGAATTAACATTGAAGTCAGTGGGGAAATTAATGGTGGTTTGCCTCCATAACTTCATGGAATTTGGCCCCTGATTGTAGGGAAAATCACGTTTTTAGCTTGTGGACACTCTAGTGTCTAGAGGTCACGATTTTCACTAATTTTGATGAAACTTAAAATGCATGTTTATGATTCAAAGATCTTGGTTCCTTTCGATATTTGCGCATATGGGATCGTAACTTCCTGAATTAAGGCCCATGATTGTACGAAAAATCTTGTTTTTAGCTTGTGGTCCCTCCAGAGGTCACAATTATTATCAGATTTACAAAAACGTTCGAATATATCACCGCTACACCGTAATGTTGGTGAAAATCGGACGAAAACTGCCAGACAAAATGGCTGCCTCTCGACGCAGATAGTATAAACATCTGGTATATCAAGGCTGTGGACACTCTAGAGGTCACAATTTTGATCCGATTTTAATGAAGATTGAAATGCATGTTCATAACCCAAAGATCTTGGTTCCTGTCGATATTCGCACATATCTGATCGTACCTTCCTGAATTATGGCCCTTGATGTTAAGAAACATGGCTTTTTGTTTAGTTTGTTCTCTATCCATCTCTTGCAAAATGTGGGCGTATCCTGCCTGGCAGCCGCTGGTTAAGTATAGAATGAATAAAAACAAGGGAATGTACGAACTATTTCTATTTTTCGCGTGTTCTCTTACCTAGTGACATTCAATTACTTTTTTGAAATGTCAGATATCCTCTCACAGTCTCACATAACAACTTTTGGTCTTCGAAGAAATTATTAGTGAGCAGAAATTCGCCCGTGTATCTGTTATCACTTCAGTCAGTTATATAGGAGGATAACTCGTGTTTTCCTTTTGCGTTCGTCACTTCCCTTTCTTGAAAGCTCATTACTCATCTATCGTAGCAATGATCTCTGTGATAAAATAATATTTGAAACGTGTTTAACCAGTTCTATCACATATGTGATAATGACTGACACCAATATTTGTCCTTTACGGTGATGAGACAAACAATCGAAACAAATTCTAATGATTTTTGATAATTACTTAATGGGTTGTTACTCATAATCAGGTTTTAGTGTGTTGTAAACATTTTCATTACTGACAAAATAAAAAGTATTCAACAACCCTTGTTGATTGCCCGGAGGACTTAGCTACGCGGGCGTATGTTTCGTTGACTGGCAACCTATCTTTGCGAATTTCCGTCCCGGAGTTATCCCACCTTGTGAACGCGATCGAGGCTATAACTTTTAAAGAGAGAGAGAGAGAGAAATGGGGTTTAACGTCCACTCGACACAAATTAGGTCATTTCGGGACTAACATATGGTTTAATTTTATTTACATAATTCGCTTGCGCGTAGGGCTCTTTAGCAGTGGGAGGAAACCGGAGGACCCGGAGAAAACCCACGAGGTTGGACAGGCGACCCTACTCCTTGTCACGTACAACCGGGGATTCGAAACCACGCCAGTCGACTCAATGACAGACTTTATGATACAGCGCGCGCACGCTAACCATTCAGCCATCCAACCCCCCTATAACTTTTAAAGGGTTTAGTTCAAATTTGGTGGGAAGCATTGGGATCATGAGAGGATGAACCATATCGATATTAAGTGTTTTGCGACTACAGTTGGGGATTCATCAAATTTGCTCAACGTTCAAGTTTTCCTTTAGCTCCAGTTGGCACAAAGCTGTTGTGTAGCCCTATTTCCAGGCTTTGCATGACTATATTATCTCTCTATACTGTTAGGCCACTGTTACACAAACCAGTAGATAATTTTAACAATTCTTTTCTAAAAATATAAGAATAATACATAGCACAAAAAAAACCCAAACAAACACAATTATCACAAAAATCCATTTAACTAACATGGAAAGAGAAATGTAATTGTCGATAAAACAAACCATTTACAAGAGATTGACGATTTTTATAAGTGCTTCTATTCATGCAAATGGCTATGTTTGGACTTGATGATAATCACCTTGATATATCGAGCACATTATAAAATGGCTATTTTCTATAAACGCATAGTTAGCACGATATACAGTTGTAGTTGAAGCTTGCTGCTGTCAAAAGACTTCGTTAAAAAAAATGTTGAGAAATACACATTATATTGTGGACCATTAATCATAGAGATCGCACGCAAGATACAATGACAACATCAACTGACGAGTTGTTTCGATTCTTAAAATGTGTAGGGGTTATTGTGAGCAGTCTGCGACATCAATCACCCTGCTTGGTAGCTGAAATGTATCCTCATCTAGAGTGGCGGTGGGCCACGGGGGAAAAGGCGAGGTGCGGGGAAATGTAACAAATGAAATGGGGTTTAACGTCCTACTGTTCTGCTCCTAAACAGGGCTAATGAAGATGGGCATACGCCATACAGTGTGCTATGAGGGAAATTCGGCCCGGGCAGCGGCACTACGGCCTACTCTTATATCGAATTCCAACTGCTAATGGATCTTTTACGTGCACGCCAATGTGTACACCGGACCTCGGTTTTTCCTCCCACCCGAACGACTAGAAAGCTGTCCTTGTAACAAAGGAAAGAACCATGCATCTATATTATGTTATATTAATTCTTTTTATGAACTCGGGATGTGATACTTTTTCGAAGAAATGCAAATTTTCAGTTTCCATAACAGATAAGCTGCGGGGCTCAATGAGTAAGGCGTTGGCTAGCTCACGGGACCTCGGTTTTCGTCCCACCCGAACGACTAGACGCTGTTTCTTGCCAGACACCGGTGACCAGGGGAAATCCCGGGGAACTTTCTCTGTCAACACCGGAATCGATCCATTTATACAATTATATTAAATTTCTTAATTCGAGTTATTAAGACCCCTTGATTTCATTTATTGGGACGCAATAAAATCTCACCACTGATTTGATAGAAAGTGCTCGCGAGACATAGATGCAGCTGAAATGTGATTTTTGACAGGGGTATTGACCATCTGTGTTGCATTTAAGCGATCCTGAAAACACTTATTTTGTTATTTGCCAATATATTGTACAAATATGACCATCCTTGCCAAATATTATAGGCTTTAAGATCTGTTACATATTTAGTGTTATATTATTGTTATTCAGTATGAATTTGTATACGGCAACGTATATGTTATTCAGTATTTAACCAAAGAGATTATCATATCCAATATCGCACTTATGAAAACACGTCATGTAATATAGTTAGGCTATCGCTTGTGTATTCATTTATTTATGGAAGAAAATAGTATATCGAACCCTTTAAGACTTGCATTTGGCTTACCACAGATCAATAACTATACGAAATGACGAATGACAGTATTTTCGATATCCAAGCTTTATGTATACACCATCAATAATTCAAAGTACCACCAGGAAAGAAAACGTATTTTACCGTTTAATTGGCTTGGTAGCGTAACCTCCCAATTGGTCTCCAAGGAACAAACCTTCAAAGAGAATTGATCATTACAGAAAGTAAGTTTACATTTCTATTTCTCTACTTGTTCGTAGTTAAGCCGTAGAAACGCTGTTATTCGTCACAATAACATGTTATCAATCGGAATTCAAGAGGTCACAAAGGGCTTTACTGAACTGTCTTAAAGGAGCTAAACCTTTTTATTTATATTATGTTATTGAATTGTATTGATGTGTTATTTGGTTAGATCTAAACGTTTACATTTTTGATTTGAAGGATTAAGTCAACTTTTTTACTAATTTTAGTTTTATTTCTAACAGTAAATTACCGTATTGACAGTAGATCATGAAATCGATTATATCTCTAACACCGGCTATATCTACTATATAG